TATTAATTGATTATTTGTGGAACACAGATCTGAGAAAATTACAATGGTAGACGTCGTTCATAGTTCTTCCTTTGCAAGCAATCAGGAGCGTCCTCTCAGGGCATATGCGCTTTATTAACACCGCAAAGCTTGTCGCAGACTGTGAGAATTAAAAGTAAAGTCGTTCAAATGCCAGGGTTTCCTCTGTTGCCACTAGTGTAGCGTCGTAGAATCCAGAAGACTTGACTGAATAATAGCATTCAGACAGATGAGGTGGAGTTTAAGCTTTGACATCGTCCTAATTTCCGCCTGACCAAAAGGACAATCTCTTGAAGTCTCGGCCGCAGGCACAGGTAATCAAACAAATCGAGCAACACTGGGGATTTGCCAAATCTGGATAGCCTTCACCAAAGTTGATGAGTGGCAATTATTCGCTCTTTCACCTAAGTAAATGGGTTGGTGAGCATGGCTTTAAACCGTTCCAAATTTAGCCCTTGCTCTTGTCATGGTACGCATATTGATGGTGTGCGGCGAGGCTTGGAGGCTGCTGGTGTGGCTCGAAGTTTGGGCCGCTTTAGCGAAAGCGAAGTTGGAACCGCTAAGTGATTTAACCCTCATATATTGATAGAGAAAGCCATTAGAGAGTTGGTCAAGTACCTTCTAGCTCTTCTGTAAGGTATCACTGTGTAGTCCCTCACAAATATTGGATTATTACATTTCTAGAGTCTAGTCATAAGACTGCGTTGTTTAGAAATATGGGTGAACGAATAGGGTTAAGATGCCTCAAAGGAGATTTAACTGTATCTGTTAGCAGATACTTTGATTCCGCCTGCTCTCTCTTCAAATAAAAGCATGTTTAGACCTTCCCACCACTGTTATTCCTATTTGACAATAAAGATTTAATTATTAATGAACCCCGTGGACAGTTAATACATAATACGCACCAATTATTTTTTACACATTGCGTTGCATCTTAGAAATATACGACGAAACCTGAGAAGCCAGCGGCCACGTCGCCGTACTTATGGTTCATCAGTGTAATGTGGCGCTCCAAACATCTCACTTGAATTAGATATTATGAACCTACAATTACGACTTAAATGCTTTATTTCTGTACAAAAGTATACCTCGAAAAACCCGATAACCGCAAGACCTAATTGGAGACCTTTGAGGCCTCGAAGCCCACGCGACTCGAGAGCTTCTGAGCTCATGTGACCATGATGGTATTATCTTATCTTCGTTTGCAGTTTCGAAACCGCAATTGTGATGCGAGAAAGGTATCAATTCGAAGACTGTACCAACTGTATAACAGAGCCTACCTCCACCGAAAATTGGCTGCTCATCAGGTTTCCCAGACTCGTGTACTCTAAGTTCGCCTTAAAATGTTGGTGTCTACTTATAAAAGATGTACAAATAATTAAGCATTCGCCTCCTAAATAGGATTTCATGTCCTAAGCCAGACACAAGATGCTGCTAGATAGGGAACCCGGCGATTAACATTCGCTAACCAGCTTACAGCCACAAAGGAGTCTCTGTTAAAGGCAGTCAGTAAAACAGTGCCAAGCTAAGATATGCGGTTCTCGCTAAATACCCACCCTTGTCTACGATTTTCTCGTCTAAATTATTAAGTAAGTAACAAGTGCAAACACATCGTTTTCGATGTATGTGATCAAAACATCTTAATTTAGAATGTATATATCTGAAAAAGGAAAGAGCGCAACCACAAAAGGGACATACGTACACACTCACGCACACGCGCATACACACAGACGGACAAGCGAGACCATCAACTACACCAACTGATTTTCTTCAATGAGGTCACGGGAGGAGGGCTGAAGATAGAGATAATAAGAGAGAAGAGACAATAGGTGTTATTGCAAAAGCAAAGGTCCGGACCAATTGTCTTCAAAGCAGATTGCATGTCGTTGGAATAGTCGGCGGAACGGCAATTGTGTTCACATGGGTAAATTTTCAGACCAGGAAATGGGAACCTTCCCGTTCACCAATAGCACCATCATCCAACGTAACCTACTTGTCTATAGTCCTGATGGAGAATGAAAAGAGTTCATAAAATTAGTCAAACACGAGAAAAAAGCCGACAAAAATCAAAAAAATATACCACAGGTTGGTAGGGGTGTGTATGCGTGTACGGTATCGTGCTATTGAGTGTTTGTGAAACTGTCCGCCTGCACATGTATACAGGGGCGGCCGTAAAAGCACATGGGGAACGTCGTAAAATCACACAGAGACCGGACAGGATAGGGGAGAGGATGGACTAGAGATTGAAAAGTGCAGTCCACACAAGAGGAGAAGAAGGAAGAGGACGAAGAGGTGCCATGAGGAGCTCACAACGCCGCACCGCACTTATATCCCATCCTCCCAAAGCTGTGGCGTAGCTGTGTGCACAAGGTGAGAATCAAGGTAGAGATCCACCACCGGACACACCCATACACAACGATGGAGAAAGATGGGACGTGTGCATGTATACATGGAAGGGGAAGGGCGGAAAGCACAAGTGGAGGAGAAAGACAAGACGAGGGACGAACACGCACGCGCGCACACATGAAGGAAGTGAGACAGGAAGGCAGAGAGCCAAAGACAGAAATCGATCACGACCACTAGTGGTGTTGACGGCCACGTGTGGCATAAAGGGCAGCCCGAGCAGAGGAGCTGCTGTCTTCTAGGGCGCCGCCACCACTAGGCCATTTAACAGCTGGCGAGACATCGTCAGAAAACTTGAGAAGAAACTGATTCGCAAACCAGGCGCAGAGCAGCGTGAGCAGCACGAAACCAATGACAAATAAGCAAGCCATTCGGCGCTGGGCACGGTCGCGCGATGAGATTGTGGAGTGGCCATTGATACGTCGAAAGAACAGGTATGCACGTAGGCGCTGAAACAGTGCAATAAGGTGGTTTACATGGATTGTCATCAGGGGTGGACGTCGAGGCAGAGGAACCGGTGACTTCTCCTGCGTTGACTGTGCTAACGATGGAGGCAGAGTCGCACGATGGTTAATAAGGCTCGACCTGAGCAACACGGAGTTGATAAACCCGCCAACGAATATCCGCTTGTCGGGTAGGGTTGTAAAAACCGTACCAATGGAGAAGGGACCGTGAATAAGCATGATTTTTGCGCA